GTGTGGTTGGGGGGGTGGAACGGGGGTGGGTGGTGGGGGGGGGGGGGGGGGGGGGATATGATGGTGATCTTGCAAACGGTGAAAACTTTATATTACTTTGAAATTCAGCTATTAAAATAATTAAACTGAATTCATGCACATTTATAAACATACAAGTTCCATACCTATGACGTCACTTTGTAGGCGGATCGGCTGTTGACACGTGACAAAAAGCCTATAGGATTTTTCCATAGGCTTTTGGATTATCTAAGCTCTGTGTTCAACCATAGTTCATGAAATTTACACGTTTTGTCCATCAAGATAATCTTCACAAAATAATATAACTGATGAATTTTGAAGCCTAAATAAAAGCGCCAGAACTTAAAAGCTAAACTTAGGCTATAAACGAACTACACCTCCACGTCGCTCGCCTTCAACGTCGCCACCACCACCATGCTCCCGACAACTTTTCAAACTGATTTCAGTGAAAAGGATTTACTCTGTATATGAATTTTAATCCACGCTACATTAACCTTTTCATATAAACTGGAATAAATACAAAACTAGAGCCAAACTACAACTGAAATGAGACTTTAATAATAAATAGTATAGTGAATAAATGAAATAATCATAAAGGACACATGAAAGCACGTATTTCTGTACATTTCGAAATAAGGTGCATTAAAAGTCAATAAACTCTTGATTCATATATTTAAATTAAAAACGTGTCTCCACCTACTATTGAATAAAATTCTAGTGCATTAGTCTATCAAATAACAGCAGAGTGAGCGAGTTTTTGGATATGGTAAGAATAAACTTATTTTAGAGAATAAAGTACCACATTTCAGCTATCATTTTGTTAGGGTGGGTACACAAAATGTTATTTTATCCTTGCTTCTAGGAAATCCTCAGTCTATATGCTTTCTAACAGATTCATGTGGCCATAAACATTTAAATGTAACGCGGCACTATGCATGTTAAAGTTTCACTTTCCCCGTGACTAGCCGGTAAATGTGGTGTTTACATTGAATAATCGTAATATGAGTTTACCTTATGGTACGAGTCTCTGCATCAGCAGGAAAGCCATATAACGAGCTTCCATCCGAAGACTCGTTGCATTTCGGGGCAAAGCAACAACAACAAACCTTGTCGAACAACAATATAAAATGTAGGGAACTATTATATTGCGGGAAACTATTAACTGGTTATTCTACAACTAATTGTATTACAAATTATACTACGATTGGAAAATACTGTAAACTGATAAACTGTTCGGCGTGATGACGTTGAATGTCTCCGACAGCGCCTGTAGTCCCATTTAGCAACTTGTTAGCAACCGTCTTTTTTAAGAAACGTAACAGTTTAAAAAATCACGAGTGGGGAGTAACTGGTTATGTCGTAGAATAAAACGTGAAAGTATCTTGAGCCGGTGTGAACCACGGGCCTTATTTTAGGGATTTAACCAAAAACCCATTGACTATGGGACGATGGAACCGGAAGTGCTAAAATGCTAACTCGCTTTCAGGTTTTTGCCTACAAAGTGACATCATAGTTCGTTTACGGAAAAGGAATATCCTTCAATTCACATACGGCACTTTCATAATAATGTAAACGTAATCATTATGACTCATTTATAATAATGCAAAGAGTAATTTATATTGATCTTTTTTGTAAAATAATTGTGATTAATTGCCTTCCGTTTCTGTTTTGCTGTTTTAACGCTGAATCGATTTTTAAGTTATCGAATCTGCTATACGCCAGATATTTATCGAAGCAAGATGGCGACCTCTGGTAAACAGTAAGTGTCTCATGTAAACTTATAGTTAATTTGTCCAATTACACCAGACATCGTTAAATACTTTATTGTGTATATCGACGGACATTGCACAATGGCTGTGTAAGCATGTTGTAAAACAGTATCTTGATAAGCATGAGCTAATACTGCTATCCCCAAAACACATGAGCATACGGTCACGTTACCTACATTATAAATCGTAAATAAACTGTATTTACATGTTGCATTTTACTAAACCTCTAATTCGCTCTATGTAATATTATTGCTTTTTTTTGTTAGCGAACTGGCCTTGTATGAAATTGGCAGTGCATTGCTTGCCTTCAAAAAAAAGGAAAAAAAACAGCTACAACCATTTTACGCTGGTTTCAAATAGACGTAGTTAGTATAATCTGGTCTTGGTTTGGCCAATCTGGTGTTCAGCTGGTTTTAGCTGGTTGGCCACCAAGCAAAAACCTCTCTAAAACCAGCTATGACCAGCCAAACAGCATGAGCTGCTTTTAACAGTTTTGTTGTTGTTTTCTTCACCAGAGACAATGATTGTTAAAAAAGATGAAAGTGTTAAACTAAGTCTTAATTAACCATCCCACATAGTAGATAGTTACTAAGCTGTATTCATGCTTTCTTATGTGTATTTCAGGTATGGGCTCATTTTGCCCCGGAAGAGTACATCAAAATCTGCCCCTCTCTCCCGCCCCTCTGTGTTTGCAGATGATTCTGATGATGAGGTGACAGCTCCTATGAATCTGCATGTTGCTTTCTCTACACTCAAGTAAGCACACTGTAATAAAACACAATCTCTTATATTGTAGACCTCAGTTGGGGAGAGCTTGCTGAAGGAGTCGGTCAAAAAGAAGATGATGAAGCAGGTAAGAATGGAAGACATCCCAAGAACAGTTGCATGATTATGTAATTTATGGTGTTGAAAATGTTTTTTTTTCCCACTTCAGACCCGTCTTGAGATGCAAAAGGCACTTGAAGAGGACAGCACTGTCTATGAGTATGACGGTGTGTATGATGATATTCAGAAACAGAAACTGGAAAGCAATAAGAAATTGCTAGGTGGCACAGACAAAAAGGTATATTTTAAAATGTTATTGAAAAAATATTAATTCGTCCAACATAAGACACATTTTTATTCAATACAAGTCTGAATAGCTGTTACATTAGAGCATTATGTTTTGCAGTCATTTGTCATGGTAGCACACTGCAATTTCCACTTGGCAACAATTCAAATTCAAAATGAACATATTTGTTGTTCTTTTAGCCCAAGTATATTAACCAGCTGCTCCGTGCAGTCGAAGAGAGGAAGAAGGAACAGGAACGCCGTGATGAGAGAAAGATCCAGAAGGAAAGAGAAGCAGAGGGCGAGATGTTTGCTGATAAAGAGGCCTTTGTCACCACAGCTTATCGCCAAAAACTTAAAGAAAGACAGGAGGAGTTGGAGAGAGAGAAGAGGGAAGCAGAATTAGAAGGTGAGTTCTTGTAGTATAATTCAATGTTGTTATGAGTATTAAAGTGGACATACTTAGTTTTTGTTTTCATTTTTAGCTGCACTGGATGTCAAAAAGCAGAAGGATCTTAGTGGATTTTATAGACATCTTCTCAACCAGACAGTCGGAGAGGAGGCAGTGCCTGATCGTAGTGCTCAAAGGTGAGGCATATGCTGGTAGTGATTTACAGATTGATATCCACCTTATTGTGCAACATGGAAGTAACATTCCTGTGAATGTGTGAGACTTTAGATTCATTATCTGCTGTAGGTCAATAACTAGAAGAATAACAAAGTGTCGTAAAAAATAAAGCCATTTGTGCTACAAACCAGTGTGTTCATGATTATGATAATAAAGGAAAAAATGTGAACACAAATAACGGTTTGCAATATCAAGCAGCATGACAGACACTTTTTGGACAGTTAAAATAATAGCTCTTAAGTAAAAAATAAGCCAGATATGTGTATCATACATAAGTGCAAAACAAGCAGGAACTTCAAGTAACACAATTAAATGCTCTAGATACAGGTGCATCTCAATCAATTAGAATGTCGTGGAAAAGTTCATTTATTTCAGTAATTCAACTCAAATTGTGAAACTCGTGCATTAAATAAATTCAATGCTCACAGACTGAAGTATTTTAAGTCTTTGGTTCTTTTAATTGTGATGATTTTGGCTCACATTTAACAAAACCCCACCAATTCACTATCTCAACAAATTAGAATATGGTGACATGCCAATCAGCTAATCAACTCAAAACACCTGCAGATGTTTCCTGAGCCTAAATTTATTGAGATGCACCTGTAAATGTTATAGATAAATGGTCTTTTGGTACAGTTCTGCTCATAAGTTCACACACCCCGTAATAGTTCACCCAAAAATGAAAAGTTACTCACCCTTAGGTGAGAGAAATTTAGCATTACATCACTGGATCACCAATGGATCCTCTGCAGTGAATGGGTGCCTTAAGAGTTTAAACAGCTGATAAAAAAAATAGCAATCCAAAAGTAATCCACACAACTCCTGGGGGCGTTTTTGTACCTCACATTTGAGATGATTTGAAAGATTCCAGATCTTCTGATCATCATAACTGATCTCTGGCTAATTCGGTTCTTCAAACAAATTGGCAGATTTGATTAAAATATCTGGATTAAGTTGTCTAAGATTACTGCGTGTTGTCATGTCCTGAAAAGGGCAGATGTATCAATATTCTAAACCACGATCAGCAATGCACCGATTGGCTGGCGGCAAGCCAGCAACATAATGGCATCATATAATTGAAAAAGACACCTGACAAAAAACTTGACAAATTTCTGGACCTTTATAAGGAAACAGTACTACATAAATGTTATAACAGATGCATGAAATGTGCACTGTTTTTAATTTATTAGTAATTTTTTTTTTTTCCCTATTCCCAATGATTTATTCACAATTTTTTATATTGTTCATATTTATATCATTTATATTCATGACATTTGTACAGGCTTTACATTTTTATTTTAATGTTGTAATTAGCAATTCAGTTTTATCTTTGAAGCAGATTTGTTATGTGACAGCATTAATTAAAGTTTCTTAAGGGTCAAGATCAAGTTATCTGCATCTCCAAAGACTAAACATCATTATTATAAAATTAATTTTTAAATTATTTTAAAATATTGTCCCTGGACCAGTTATGGTACTCTTGTAATAAGGTAGCAGTGGCTGGGAAAGATTTTAAGTATCAGTTCTGCTTAAAAAGATGCAATCTAATCCTGTTTACATGAAATAAGCCTGCTCCCGTGCAGGTTTAAGGCCTGTTCACACCAAGGACGATAACTATAAAGATAACGATAAAGATATAGTTCTAAAAATCATTCTCAATATTAAAGAATAGTAGAGTCCACACCACAACTATAATGATAAAGACAAAGAGAAACGATATCGTTGGAATCACTTTCAAAACTATTTTTTCTCCAGCTGATGGAACGATAAAAAATTGACAGCCAATCAGAATCCATTCTGCTGTAACGAGCTCAAGAATTTAAAGCGGCAGACGTGCGTGCACTTAGAATTAACAGACGATATTGTTCGCTGGTGTGGACGCTAATATTGTTATCTTTAAAGTTATCGTTCTTGGTGTGAACAGGGCTTTAAGCTTATGGACCTGTTGCTATGACAGCAACTTCAGGATGAGCTTTGAAGAACCAACCAATCCGAGATCAGTCAAATTCAGCTAATTGAGTTATCGACATACAAATAACAAACCCCAGTCCCTCAATTAATCAATCAAAATGTTTTTAAATTCAAACCTGGCTAAAATATAACTGCTCTATCCATAATATATTTAAATTCATATAGTATGAGAAAAGAGATACATTGAAACTCAAATTATATCCCTAAGTGAAATTGATATCACATTTTAAAATGCGGAAACTATTTGTAGGTCTTTGTAGCTCTAATAAAATTATTAATCAACTTTAACTTGTTTTAGAGAGGAGAAAGCTACAGGCTCTGCAGCAGCAGAATGGTCACCAACCCCAGAGCCCACAGTGAATCGAAGAGAGAGCGAGGCAGAATCCCACAGCGATGATGACCAGAGTGATAACAAAGCTGCATTCACTAAGACCACCACAAACAGCAATCACTCAAAACGGCAATACAGACAAAAATCCCCTCTTTCAGATAGTGACGATGAGCAAGAGCATGAGAGGGAAGAGATTAAAGAAAGGAGTCCCAACGAAAAAGACAGGGATAGAGCAAAGGATAAAGATAGAGAGAAGACCAAAGACAGAGAAGACGAGCACAGTCACAGAAAGGAGGACAGGGACCGCAGAAGAGAAAGGGAGCGAGACCGGGACAGAAAAGAAGACAGAGGCCGAGACAGGGGGGGCAGAGACAAAGATGACAGACATAGTAACAGGGACAGAAGAAACAGCAACCCAAAAGACCGAGAAAGACACCATAAAGGAGAACGAGAGAGAGACAGACGAGACAACAGCCCAAAGGACAGGGAACGGGACCGCAAAGGAGAGCAAGATCAGAGGGACAGAGAAAGCCAGAAAATGGACAGCAAAAGGAAAACCCAGGATGAGGAAAAAATTAGCGAGAGACAGACGGACAATGACAAAGAAGAAAAAGTTATGGAACCCGAGGAAAAAAGTGATGCACAAAAGAAACATAGTAAATTTGCGAAACGCAGCTGTGACCTGACTGTAAATTCAGCCAGAGAGAGATATCTGGCCCGGCAACTTGCTTGTTTTGCTGCAAAGCCCTACATTGAAAAAGATGACGACTAGCAAATGGATTGACCATTGCATCTCATTTTTATGCACCCTTCATCTCCCTCTTTGAAACCGTATGTATGGGTTTGGTCAAGGCAAATAATTTAAATGCTTTAGTGAGCCTAAGTGTTTGTAAATTTGGGTAGAATGGAGCTTTTTCTTTTTTTGTAAATTTCACTTTGTCAAGAGTTAATAAAGAAAAAAAAACAAAACTGAATGTTAATTGTGGCAAAGCATCTGGTTTGCTGCAGAGCAGTTGATTTTTTTCTATAGTTTTCAATGTCTTCGATTTGAGGGAGGGTTTTAAAAAACAGATGGGAAAGGGCAATTTATTAACCACTTACCCCTTATTTAAAAGCAATGTGGTGTGCAATGCAATATGCACATCCAAAAGTTCATGATTCTTAAAGTCGGCATGAAACTGAAGTTGCAATTGTCTTTTCTCTACTGTGACGTATATCCGAGTGAAACGGCATCTGAAATGAGAGGGCGGGACTTGATTTCGTCCTTCGGGAATTGATTGGATCGTTGGAAGCTGGGGCGTTGCTAACAAAATGGAGGCAGATCTAAATGCCAGTTTGCAATTAGTGGTGGGGGATTTCTCTCCATGAATAAATAAATGTTTTATTTATTAAGGATGACGACGACGACGATCAACAGCACAAAACATGCCTAAACAGCGCACGCGCAAGAGAGAGAGAGAGACTGCCTGAATGACTGAACGCGTCCTCCCATCAGGTTAAGGCATGAAAAAAAAAATTGTTTGCGACGTCCTAAGAGTAGGCTAATGTTGTCGTAATATCTTTTCGGTGTTTAGGGGCAACGTACTCCCGCATGACTGGTGTCAGTGCTATAAAAAGCATCAGCTTCAGCCCCGGTCCTTTATCCCAGCATTTACCCATCACGTCACTAGCTCCGCCCTTGCGCCATAGCTCGTGACCGGAAGAGGAGATGAGTCGTTTTGAGGGGGAGGGGAGGTTAACGTTTTTGATTAAAGATTACGAGGGCATAGGAATTAAAAAAAAAAAAAAATTGATTTCATGGTGACTTTAAGGTGCCAACATGTCAGGAACTTTCCCCCACCGATAAAAGAAGAAAACACAACATTTGAATGAAGAACTTTTAATGGGACATGTTACAATAATGCACTCAACATACAAACATGAAATTCAAGGACAGATACAGCGGTTCAAAGAAAACAAGTCTGAATATGAGGTTTAAGGACAAAGCGGTCCAAATCTCCGTCAACGGAATCTGTTGGGTAAATGAACAATCAATTTAGGTCAATTGCAGGCCATTTTTCACAAAGTTAAACTTTTTTTCCCCTCAAATCAGAAAACCGTTCATCACCACTGATCAATCTGACGGTAATTCCAGCTATTATCAGTTTAGGTTTCATCATAATGAACTCGGTCAATATTTAAAATAAGTAACAGCATTTCTGCAGAACTCACCATAAATGTGTGAAGTCCTCGGAAAACACCTAGCGTTAGGGAGACACACACCGTTAAGGAACCGCTCATACAGGTCTTAAATACTTGGTATACATTTGGTGTGCTCAGAAAACCGATCATCACCACTGAACCATCTGACGGTAATTCCAGCTATTTTCAGTTTAGGTTTCATCACAACACATAATGAAGAGTCATTATTGAGAAAATGTGACTTGTGTCTTACCAGCAAACAGCCGTTTTTTTCCCCCTTCAACACGCGCACATTCTTTGCTGCTTCAGCACGGAAAGGACTTCTCTGCGTTTCGCCTCGTGTTATATGTACTAGTCTTCTTCTTGAGGATCTACGAGTTTAGACGCCACTAGGCGTACTGCCCTCCACAGGTCAAAACGTATAGTTCTTCCTGAACCCTGAGCGCGATCCGCTCATTTCTGCCAACTACTGGAAAAACCTACGAACACGGTTTTATGGCGGGTAGCACCAATATTAAGGTACATTATCGCCACCTACTGTATTGGAGTGTAAACCACAGTTTACCCTTTCATAATAAGAGGACCCCAAAAAAAACCCATTTCATTTCATTTCATTCGTGAAGATTTTCCCACTAAATTATCTTAATCAGCTCTGTTCTCTTAAGATACAAAAATAAACTTTCTAGTCCAGAAGTAAATATCTTTTTAAGCTTTAGGTTATCCACTCCCATCTTTCTAAGTTCATTCTTCATTGTTTCTCGTTCATTATTATACTTTTCACAAATACAAATAACCTGTTCTACTGATTCCTCCATTCCACAGTGCTCACATAATCCAGTTGGATGTTTATTTATTATTTTTAAGGTTTTATTCAGCATAGTATGCCCAACCCTTAATCTTGTTAGAATATTTTCCTCTTTGGTGCTTCTTTTAGTTATTCTCACGACTCCTACTTCTCGCTGTATTTCATAAAGTTGACTTCCTGTATTTCCTGTATCCCATTTATGTTGCCACTCCTCAGTGGTATATGCTTTAATTACTGCTTTTGCTTCATATTTACTAAGTGAGATATTCATGATATCCTCGTTTTCCAATGCCTGTTTTGCTAATCCATCAACCTTTTCATTACCCTTTATCCCCCTATGAGCTGGTATCCACATAAATATTATCATGATGTTCATATTCTTAAATCTATACAGATTTTCATATATCTCATTTACTATATCCTGTCTACTATGAGATGTGAATGATTGTAATGACTTTAATGCCGAACATGAATCTGTACAAAGTATAACCTTTTGATAGTCTCCTCTATCCACTGTAGTGCTGTTGCTATTGCCACCATCTCTACTGTGTATACTGATAAATGATCTGATGTTCTCCTATTAACAGAAATGATAAATGTGAACATTATTGCTTTTGTTTTATCTACTGTAAACCTGAATCCCCATGCATATGACCATTTTTCTACTACTTCAATTGCCTCTTGTATCTTTCCTATAATATGATTTATATTCCTTCCCCGTTTCCACAATGCCCCATCATCAGCAAACAATGATCGCCCATGTCTCCTTGAACTTGAGAAAATACATCATTTATCATAATTAAAAAGAGTATTGGACTTATGATGCTGTCCTGGGGGTACCATTTTCTACCATATATCTTCCAGATAAGACTTTCCCAATTCTGACTTGAATAAATCTCTCAAACAAAAAATCTTTAATCCAATTATAACTTCTACCTGTTATTCCCATCATATCAAGTTTGATCATTAAGCCCTCTTTCCAAACCATGTCATATGTTTTTTCGACATCAAAGAAATCTGCTATCACTGAATCCTTATTAACCTGAGCTTTCTTAACTTCTGTTTCCAAACATATCATGGGGTCCATAGTTCCTCTCCCTCTCCTGAAACCACTCTGATGAGGTGATAGAATTCCACTACTTTCCAAATAAAATGCTATTCTGTCTGTAATCATTCTTTCCATTATCTTACCTATATGTGAGGTCAATGCTATTGGCCGATAATTCTTTGGATTTGATGGGTCCTTTCCTGGCTTCCTAATAGGAATAATCACTGACTCTTTCCATCCAGTAGGTAACTTTCCTTTTTCCCAAACTTCATTATAAAAGCCTAATAGTTTTATAGATGCCAAAACACCCAAGTGTTTTAAGATTATGTAGCAGATTTCATCCTTCCCAGGAGATGTTATTCCTGCTCTTACTATTGCCCTCTTAATTTCTTCCATAATGAACAGAGCATCCATTGTGTTGTTAGTTTCCTTCC